TAAAGCAAGAGGAATTTTTCCCCCCATTTTTCACGCTCCTCTGAAATCCTGGAGAACAGCAGCACTCAGTTCCCTCCCTCCGGAGCAGGGGGTTATTAATGAGCAGCAGCCGCTTCCTCGGAGCGTGCGGCGCCGGCCAGGATTTATAAGGGCGGTTGGATCCGTGTAACCGACGTGTTTATGGAACCATATTGATAATTATCAATGCCATCCATCTTCCCAGCACTTGTTTGGCAGGATTGCAGCCATAGATCACATGCTGCTGGAGGCCATCAATAAGGGGCTGAGGAATTGCAGGCAGCCGGCCCGACACGGCGTGCAGGGCTCCTGCAGCCAGCACTCATGTTTCAAACCCTGCACCGCTCCACACCACCAGACTATTCCCAGTCCCAGGGCACATCCATAAAACAATACAGATTTTCTTGTTTCTCTCTGCAAGCAACATGTTTCGGCGTCTTTAACATGTATTTGCTTCTGTTTGCAGACAAATTAACGAGGGGAATGGTTTCATTTTATCTGGAGCTCACAGTGAGCCCTGCCCGGTGCTTTGGAAGTGAAGCACGTCTGGAGTAAGAGCTGCTTGAAATCTCTGCAGTGTAATAATGGACAGGACATGGTGTTTTCCATCCCTAGTCAAGAATTCACCTTCCTCAGCCATCCTGAAAATGTGCTGCAGAGCCCCAGTGCCCAGTGACACCGTTATGAGCCATAACACCGAGCTGGAAGAGTGCACTTGACAAGTCGGAGATGCCAATGCAATTAAGACAACATGATGCACCCTATGCAGACACCAATGGCCTTATTACAGCACTCATTAGACAATCAGACTGCAAAACAACCCCACATTGCCTTGTTCTGGGAAGATCTCCCTCTCTAAGGGCGAGTGAACAGGTCTCATGGAACCACTGCACTACTCCCAGATGAGGGTGAAGGTGAAAGAGGGCACCACCTCTGCCCCCATGGACAGGCAGCCCAAGGGGGATGGAAAGGGATGGTCTGAGATGACTCCACACCTCAGCTCATGTGCCTGTGCAGGAGCCTGGGCAGATCTCTCCAGCCTTGGCAACAAGGCAAACGCTTGGAAAAATAAGGTTCAGTAATTTCACAGGGATTGTTGCTTTATTTGTTGATTTGACAGTTCTGGGATAGTTGCAGGGGGAATGGGATGGGAAAACATAATAAACCTGGGACCTGCTGAGTTAACTCTGTCTAGAGAAAGAAGCAATATCACCAAATTTCCCACGAGAACCTGTAGCTCCTCTAGGAGCGATCCATTTCTTTCTCCTTCAGGCACAGCAGTTCCTCCAGGAGAGGTGTGTTTCTCTTTGTGTCAGGCACCTCAAAGCATGAGGAGCTGCATTTTTAGGAGCCAGCCACGTATGGGAGCTGCTCTGCCAGCCCCTTGCACTCCTACAGTGCCTCTTATCCATCAGCCTCAAAGGCTTCCAGAGACTCACAAACAGGGCAGGTACAGCGAGGAGACAGCTGGAGATGGGTCTGTGGGCACGCTGGGAGAGCATGGGGGGTGAGTACTGCTCTCAGATTCCAAGGGAAACATCAGGCATGAAAGCAGGACCCTGCATGTCCTGGCCACGCTGCCTTCAGCCACCCTCACCATGTCCTACTGCACGAGCCGCAGAGGCCTCGGTGATCCACTTAATGCCAAAGGAAACCCAACCAAACAACAAATCAAATTACCCACTTGAAAAGCAAACCAACCACTGAAGAGCTGGTACATGACACCCTCCCTCCTCCCCGTGGCAGATTCCCTCCTTTACACTGCTGGCACTTCTGGCTTCCGAAACATTAAAGCTAAACCCAGTCAAAGCAGCTCCTGTAACGACACAACTGCCTTGTAACACCCACATGCACCCTCAGCACCATCAGGGAGCCACAACCCTGCTTTAAAACTCCACTATTACCGTGGCCAGAGGATTTATCAGCTAATGGCATTAGCTGTATCTTTGCTTTCCCACAGGCGCTGGGGGTCACAGCTCAGGATTTCAGGAGAGGCCAAATTCCTGATCCCAAAATCCAGAGCAAAGCATTTCAAATTGCAGGAGGACACGAACTATAAATACTGTGCCTTAAATCCACGTGCCAGGGGCCAAAAGGGGCTGACAGAGCTTGGCATCATCCTCACCGAGGACAGAGGCAGAGGGTGGTCTCCCCTGACCTCTGGTGGGAGAGGGGCCGGCCTCGTGTGCTCACAACCTTGCTGCTGGGAGAACAAAGCACTGCAGGGGCTTTGCATGGAATACTGGCCAAGCCATTCCGAATTAGACATCTGCTCGTTTTATCCTTGCGTGGATACCTGAAACACAGCCAGAACTGACACTAAATCATGCACTGGGTACTGGGCAAAGCTGTGCTCAGTGGTTTGACACCAACCAGGCAAAGGAAAGGGGGACTGGGCTGCCCTTGTGGAAAAGCTACGGCAGCTCCCAAAGTTTGCTGCAGTGAAAAGTCATAGAATATTTTCTTTGTTATCAACCAGCTTCTGCCCTCAGATACAGGAATGCAAATCCAGGGTGAGTCAACAGCAGCCAGAAGAGACACTTCACATACAAACATCTGAAGGGAAGCAGAGCCTGGCTCTGGAGGGGGCAGGGAGCCAGTGCCTGCCTTGGCTGGACAGTTCTGCCAGACATGGAACAGCAAAGGTGATGCCAAGGTGGGAGAACCACCAGGACTGAGAAGAATAGAGCCTCAGATAACTCACAAAACCAGGTTTATCAACTCATGACAAGAAGAAAACAATTGGATAGAGCAGATTTTAGTAAGTTGTTAAAGATCTCTTCTGTTTGTCTACCAACATAAGCAACAGAAATAAAATTTAAATAGAAGTTCTTCTGTAACTTTACATGAGAAAATTCAGTACAGCTCCCAAGATGAATCCACTCTGTGGCCACCACACTCCAAGAAAATACCATGAACGGGAAGGTGACATGGACCATTGCAGAAGGGCTCCACAACAGGCTCAACAGCAGCACCACTGCCAGAGAAATGGCAAAACATGCTGGTTCCTTCTTGGGATGAGGACAATGGTAAAGAAGAAGGTATTTACTCACCTATGATGGTCTTCAGCAGTTGTTTACCTACTCCTTTTGGGATCAGGAGTGTCCTTACCTTTAAGGCCTGTGTGAACAACTTTTCTCTCTTGTAACTGAGGAAATTCAGACACACTGAACTGAGACTGCCCAAAGTGACAAGCCTCGTGGAAAACAAAACATCACTGCAGCAGTTTCCAAATCAAAATTAGCACTTGCACCAAACATCCTTTTCTTTCCCTTTCTGTGTTAGTAATAAAGGAATAAGTCCTGTGGAAATATCCCCTGAAGGGTTATCTCCACAATAATTACTGAAGACAAATTGTAGCCTCTGGTAGTTTTCCCTGGAATGTATTTAATAGTCTTTACTTTGGTTATTTCCAGGAATCCTTGACTTCTCTAAACTCCACAATTTTCTTAATTGTTGTAAGAAAACACATGCAGGGACTACCATGTACCTATACCTACATCTATATCTGTGTGAGAAAGCAGGACACTTCAACAAGTAGAAGAGAAGGTACTGAGAGAATCTTAATTACTGATATGACCCTGTGGCCACAAGGATTTGAGGGTGAGGAAAGATCTCTTTTGATGGAAACATTTAACACAACAACAGGAATACAAATCAAGCTCCATTAATTTAGCTTTAAATTTTAATGAAGCAGGATGTATCGTTTACATAAAGAAGGATTTACTTAATAAAATATTAATATTTTTTGCTAAAAGAACTGTAAATTGAAAGTTAATATAGGTTTCTTTAAATAGAACATCAAAAGTTGAAAACCACCAAAAGAGCAAATCAAATAAAGCCAATCAAAATGAGCCAGAATCCAAAGAGAGCAAAATATTGTGGCCAGTCTCCAAGACTGGACTTTTGGTGACCCACATGCTATTAACTTAATTTAACGAACCCCCACAACATTACAAGTGCAGTGAGGGTGACGCTGGGTCCACACTCAGCCACAGGGGCTGGGACCCCTCCCTGTGTGCCAGGTATGCCCTGGCCACCCCTGGGGACGTGCTGGGGCTGGGCCATGGTCACAGAGCCCTCCCTGTCACCCTGCACCCTGTTTGCAAAGGAAACCTGGCAGCAGAGGCAGAGAAGGGGCCATAACACACCAAGGATTCATGATGTTCCTTGCATGGAACATTGACTGAGAGAGGAAAACCTCTCAACAAATAAACACTTCAGGAATAACCCTGCTCTTATTCAGGCTCTGTTGCTGAAGAGCCAAACAACTGAAACCTCTGGCTGTGGGTGTTCATAACACTCCTCAAGGAGCCAACCAGTTCTCAGCTCAAACTGGCACCACTTCTCCAGGAACTCGAGGCTCAAGCAACTTTCACAAAGTCAATCAGGAATCATGAACCCAGATCTTGAGACAGGTCACAGACCAGCTCTCCCTGGATGAGGCTGACACAGACTCCAGCTTTCCCACCCACCACTCCTGTTTTTTTCATCTGGAAAACATCAAAGTATCTTTGATCCCCTGCTCCTACGTGCTTGTTTTCCTTTAGGCATCATCACAGAAAGGCCATCTCATCCATATGGATTGAAAGTACCACTGGAAAAGTGAGTCACTCCAACAACATTTACTTTCAGCTTTCCAAAACCAGGAAAAACTGAAGAGCATCTGCAAATGAAAGCCCTGTGGTTTCAAACTACAACAAATTACGGCTTCATTTTCCAAGCTGGCAACTAGGGATCTCAGACACACAAAAGTAATAAAATTTGCATGATCCCCTAATGTCTCTATTAGTCTGAGGAGCTTTGGTGCTCAGGGTGTGGGGAAAAGGTTGCAGGACAGACTAGAACAAGATAATGTGCAACAAAACCCCACTGTGCTGCTGTGAAGAGATAGTGAAGATCCCTCCCAAGTTTTCCGGATGAAAAAAAGCATTTAGTGACTATGGCTGACAGAGAGGAGCAAGGCAGGACTCAGCCAGACTCACGTTGAGCTGCAGGTCATCTGTCCACTGGCCGATGAGGCGGTAGCCTGGGGTGCTGGTGTTGGTGGTGTGGAACTGGAAGATGTCGTAGCGCCCTGGGGCATCCCCGTTCTTGTTGAACATCACTGGAGTGCCAGCACTGCCTGGGGGAAGGAAACAAGACAAAATCCAACCAGCCAACACCAAGTCTTTACAAGATCTACTTTGTTTAGTCACGGTTGAGAGTGTTCAGACTGGAAACACGTTTCAGGCAAAGGTCATCTACCGGCCCAGCCGTCTAAACAGGACACTTCAGGACACTGGCATCACCCCAGCCCTCTTCCAGAGATCAGCTCTCACTGCCTAAACCTGCTGGCTAAAAATAAACAGAGCAAACTAGATGAGCCTTACCTCACTCCAGCTTTGCCCAACATGAGAAATATCAGAAGGCTTTCCTTCCTGCCCTCCAGCCTCCCTCCCATCTCTCTTTCCTCAGGGAGTTCTTCAGTGAGAATCACTCCTGTGAATGGAGCCTCTAAATGCTTCTTTCCCCCCCACACCCCAAAAGTGTTCCATCTGCTTCTGTGAGATAGTGCTGTCAGGAGTCAGCCTGGGTCTGGTGAGTCTTGACTGGCATCCAGAAATAGCTTCCTCCTCCACAGTATGTTCTCATTCCCGTAATCACCATGTGCTTGGGGTGGAACAGAACAGACTAAGCTTTAGGAAGACTGTTCCTTATGTACTCCCTTCTTTAGGCTCTCTGACACTGATACAGAAGTGTCTCAGTGGGAACAGAGCAGGATCCTGAACTGACTTTATTTGCCATGGACTGAGGTGATGAACGTGGGTCAGGAAGCGCAGGACAAGGGACAAGGCAAGGAAAGCCCCCAGCCCTCCCTCTGTGCCTGGTGCTGAGCAAAGCATGGGGGTGCAGAGATGTCTGAGCCCTGGGACAGACAATCCCTGATCCTGAGGAGAGCTCTCACCACACCATCTGCATTTTAATTACCATGGCATTAGATGTGAACCTTTTCTGAGATTCAAAGCAGTGCTGCATTTCCTCAGATCTCCAGGAGCAACCTTCAAGGGTGACATTTATTTCAAGACATATTAAAATAGGTTTCAGTGGGGAAGAGCAATATTGTGTCAAGATTGAAGATTATGACAATCCTCCAGCATATCTATATTCAAAGCTTCCTCCTCCTGCATAACTTCTTTTCCCTAAAGCAATGAAAAATCTCTCCTGTTGTAGCACTGAACTTTAAGATTACTGTTTTCTTCATGATTCCCATTCTTCATTGAATTCCAGTGAGTGAAAAAAAAGGTTTGGAGGAGTGAATTAGCACAGTCTCCATTCTAGCCCTGGTAAATGGTTTCCTGTCTCTCCGACAATCCTCTGAGATCAGAACAAATTCAGTTCAAAGGCTGGTACAGAAAATCTTGCACTAAAATCTCTGCTCACTGTTCCTTATGAGCACCAGGCAGATATTTAATTGTCATTACAGATTCATGTAGCCAGAATACATTTAGAGTGAAAACACTTAAGAGTGAATCAGAAGCAATGGCTGTAATTCCTTGGCTCCCCGGGAAGGTCGGCACAAATGGTAAATGGGATTTAGCTAATCACGACTCTTAAGGCTGGATATTATCAGTTGAGCTTGGTTTTGTCAGAGCTGACAGAAAAGGTACCGTTGAAATGGCAGGAGTTCCAGTGAGGCTCCCAAAATGCAAGAGAGACATTTGTGGATTCCCCACATCCTGACAAGGTCTCAGGACACGAGGAAGGGTCCGTGTCTGCTGGTCAGGAGGCACACAGTGAGTGGACATCACTGTCCAGGCCACCCACAGTCAACAGTGCTGAGACAAAACCTGTGGGGAAGCAGCCAAGAGGACCCCTAGGTCACTTTCCTGGGAATGTCACCCAGAGCCCTCCTGGCTAAGCCCTTTAAAACAATCCTTAAGGTCATGGATGCACTTGGATGTGCCAGGGCTGCAGGCTGATGATCCAGCATAGGCTGATGGTCCAGAGCCCCCAAGGGACATGGACCTGGGCATGGTCACAGGGACTGGGCAGGGAGCAGTGAACACCTGCTGCCATTGGCAGGTACTGCACCACTGAAGGGTTAAAATGGTATAGACAGGCCTGGGATCTGTTGGGAGGTCGAGAATCCAAAGGAATGGGAAGGACTGGTAACCCCGGGTCAGGGGTCAGGCACAAGAGTCCCTCTCCTGACTTTGAAGTTGGAGTAATTGGGCTCCCAGCCACAGATCTGCTTAGGAAGTGCAAGCCCTCCTTAACCCCGGTGTGGGCCAGGTGCAGGCTCTGCTCTCCTTTTGTGCCTCCTCCTGTGGGGATCCATCAGCCCTGCTTTGATCCTGCAGCATTTCAGCCTCCACCACAACTCGGGCTCCTTTGATGAAACAATGAAAACAATAAAATGTGGTGTCGGAAAACCTCATCACAGGGAGATGAACCAGGGTTTTCACAGGTGACCCTTCTTGTTCTTTGACTTCTCGATCTTTTAATCATGAAAATGTGTGGTTGTTTCACTGCTTTTTGATCATCTAGAATTTATTTTCTTTCTATTAAGATTTCCCAGAACTTTGCTTAGCCCCAGCAAGTGCTTCAGAGTGTCAGCCTTGAGGCTGCAGCTTCCTGCTCCTGCAGAGGCCATGACAGTTCTCTTCAATTCACAGCAAACGAGCTGCCTTGTCCCCACACAGACACAGGGTACACCTGCAGAAAGCACTCAAGACCAGACACAATCTGACTGAAGTTGTAGGATTTCAACCTCTTAATCACTGCAAGATGAGACACTGATTAACAAGAGGAGGACAGGGTGCTAGGCAGGTGTCACTAGCCAAGGTGTTTATTACTCAGTTCACGTTCATGGCAGGTTGAAGACCCAAAGGGCTCCTATGAACAGCATCTTCAGCTTTTCACTGGCAAAAACACAATTGCACTTTGAGACTTTCAGACTCTGGCTGCTTGAATGCTCGAGGTTTGAAGTTTTCCATATTTTGGGCCCTTTGTTCTCGAGGTAGTGTGACAAGAGCAAAATGCACACTGAGCTCCTCACACAAATCCAGCCTCCCTTCATCAAAGCGTGGCTTCAGCTCTTCCTGCATTACCTTTGCAAGGAAGAAAAGACTCCAAAGCAGGCACAGGCAGGATGCTCTCAACTGCACAGTGCCAAGGAGATTCATTACATGCAAAGAGGATCTCAGGCTCAGGGTGCTTGAAAACAGGCTACGCTTTTTCTCTCCTCACACAGCCTGGACAAAGCGCTCCCACTGCTCCACTTTCTGTTCTTATGACAAATTCAGGGGGGAAACTGGGAGAACAGGATTTGACACACAGACTAAATTTGCTTTCCAAGTCCCAACCTTCCTGAGGAGTTGGACCCCTGCACTGGTGACTCAGAAGGGCAGGTTAAGAGCAAGACTAAACCCAGAGAGCTGACACGAGCCCAGCCCCTCCTCTGTGCACGACAGGATGGCTGAGGAACACAGAGGCACCACCACCCGTGTCCCAGGAGCTCCCAGGTGTTATCCACAGGGAAAACCAGTTCTTGCAGCTGGACACCAGACAACATTAACTGGACCCCCAGTTCCTCATAAATGATGTCTCGGCTCTGTTAAAATGACAAGATGAACGTTCAGCATCTTTGCATGCAAGAAACGTCCAGAGACAAGCACGTCCTTCCAGCGCTGCAATGGCCCAGGTGTGGTCCTGCACATGGAAGCTGTGCTGTCACAGCAGCTCTGTCCTTCACAATTAACCTTCCCAAATGAGGCAAGAGAACTCTGCAGACCTCCTCGGATCATTCATCTCCAAACTTGCTCCTGGCTGTAGTTAACATCCCTTCAAGGAAAGGAATTAAAATCTCCTCATATTCACCTTGCCCTTTATAGGATGATTTATACACAAAGGCAAAATATCCCTGGCACAACAGAACAAGCTTGACCACAAAATCCCATCTGCGTTCCCCTCTTTAAAGCTCTCGGGTCCTATTGGCTCTGTGTGGGTTTTGTTAAGTTTATTAATAAAAATATTTATTAGGAGATGGCAGGAGGGGAGCTCTGGCTGTGGTGCCCAAGGAGGCCATGCAGCTTATGCAAACCCTCCTCCCCAGGCAGCAGAAGCCCTGCCTCCCACACTTCAAAAGGATATTTTTCTCAGTACTTTCCTAAATCTGTTTTAAATATGTATTTGGAGGTCTACCTTCTGGCTCCTGGTTAAATCTCAGCTCTCTATCTCATGCAGAGCCAGGGTGAGAGCAGCCAGACCTCCTGGGAAGTCCATTAGCAGGTTTATGAAGGAGAAATACCATTCCCTGCTGGAAACGACCCGCTCCGGGGCCACTGAGCTGGTGGCAAGTGGGTGTTCGTTAATGAAACTAATAAAATTACAGGAAAACATACAGAGGCAGGGAAATTGTGTTAATATTTAGGCCTGATTTATACAGTGCAATGCGGGGGAAGTACATGAAAGCCCGTTGTGCTGCCTGAAACAGGGGGTTGGTGCTGCCACCAGCATGGCCTGGGCAGCACAGGGGGTTAAGTGATAAGGGAAAAGAGGTAAAGTGCTCTCAGGATGTTTCACCTCCTCTGAAATCTCACTGGAGCAATGAAGGCTGGAGTAACTACTCTGTCTAAATCACACAGTTCTGGCTTCCCCAGTGGGCCTGGCTTCCCTTTAGCTCTGCCTTCCCCTGAGCACACACCTACCGTGGGCTCTGGGTACCAGGATCCCAGTCAGTTAATTTTCTCCATGTACAGGAAACAATATAAAGATAAAAACCTGATGTGTGACGGTAACAACCTCCTAGGGCTTCAGGAACCACACTGAGTCAGAGGCAAGCTCAGGCTTTTACCCCGTTATTTCTCCCACTGGAAATCAGGCTTCTGGAAGGGGTGCTAAACCAGCAGCAGCCACTCCTGTCTCTGGGCAGGAGCAGCCTGATTGCCTTGGCTAAAACATCTTGTTCTCCAACAGGTGCTGAACAAACACGGCCTTGTGCCACAACAATAAAAAAGCCATGATTTGCGTTGAGTGCAGAACCACGTGGGGAGGGCTGGACTGACCAAAGCGGGGCTGTGGGGCCTGGGGCCCTGTGGGGTTTGGTGTCTGT